GTGTAAACGATGATTTTTATTTAAATAAGACGTATGTACATTGAACTGTGATTCATTTGTAAGAGTGATATTATGTAAAAGTAAATGAAATTATGTATAAGTAAATGAAATGTTGTCTTGGCTCGAGTACTGTGAAAGCGCGGAAGAATACGTGTGCTCGCCTGAGCGGTCGTTCAACAACTAACTCGGTCCTGTCTGTGACACATATCTCCTCCTCCCTTGTCAGACTGAAATTAAAGACTTCTGGTCGGTCCCAAGATCACTCAAAATGCGTTCAAAATGTTACAGAAATTATTTTCACTGTGCAAATTTCACAGTACTAGATGTGTACTGGGTGGCCCAAAAGTACATGTCTGGAAAACATTTTTAAAATGTTAAGCCCTCACTACCTAGAATTTTTCTAATTGAAAAAAAGAGAATACATGTATTTTTTGTTAAAAATATATATATATTTGGAACTGCCGAAAGCCCATGAAGTTTTCCATGTATTTTATATGGGCAAAAACACCTTTTCGTATAAATGGTATAGAATTTTTGAAAATAAATATTTTTCGACCGGAAAACTTTGTTTATATCTAGAAGAGTTCTTAAGGGTCCCTTAAAAACCCCAAAAAATCCGATAGGGGACCTATAAAAAATCGTTAGTTTTAAAAAATGGTAAAATAAACAATTGGGAGTCTCCTGAAGAGCAACGGGGTTTTCCGATAGGAAAATTTGATTTTCGAGAATGCTATACCATTCTACGAAAAAGTGTTTTTGCCCATATAAAATACTTGGAAAACTTCAGGGGATTTCAGGCTATTTTTTTTAACAAAACAAAATCGGGTATTTTTTCCATTTAAATAAAATTAGGTAGGGTGAGAGCTTAACATTTTAACCTTTTTTTACCACCCTAATATACATACATATGCATACGCAAGCATAGGCGAAGCAGGACGATTTATCAAGGCTACCATTTAGAACCATTTTTATTTTATTAAGCCTTAGTATTTTGAGCGATGCATTAGTATAAATTTATGCAAATAGCGCCGTTGAGCATCAGACAAGCAAGAATGGACTGGCAAAACAAAATTCAGAAATTCGATACCAACTTTTAGCTGGTGCCTCAAAACAATACGTAATGATGATCAATGCCTAATGCCGAATTTCCACTAGGCATTAAAATGACAAAAAATATAAGTCATTTATAAAAATGCCATGTAGAAATGAACATAACGACAATTTTTTAACGTAATGACACGAATACTTTTTAATGCCAAACATTGTCATTTGCCATTTAATACCTAGTGGAAATTCAGCATTAGTAACAGATTACGTATCGGTATGCGAATTCTGTGTGAAGTTTTTTTTATAGTTACAGAGCTTTTTTCTTAAGACGTGGATTATCCATGATTCCGACCCAACGCGAAAATAAATATATTTATTTACATTTGTAATAACATTTCACTATACAAATACCCCAAGAGATTTTTGATGCTAACCCCATCCAACTTGTCCCACTGTTGCCCAGTGTCAAGTCCGCAATAAAAGTATTAACAGCAGGCAACCTTTCTTTTGCAGCAACAGTGTCACTATCAGACAAATATGCAGGCAGTGAAGGCGAACGGTGGGAGGGCGGGCATACGACCCCTAAACTACGAAACAACATTGCAATGCAAACAAATCTTTCTGTTACCAAGCAAAAAGTTGAGTTGTCGGGCTGAGTTTGCTGTGTGGCGCTGTAGGGTTGGGTTCAGTGAGTGGACTGGGCACCAACGAAAGCAAAATAGTCGAATATTTGCAATTTAACGGTTTAAGACAGTATTGCTGCACACTCACCCAACGACGAAATGCAAAAGTAGTCAACTCACATAGACCCACAGGTTAAAGCAAAAACTATTGAACCCTATAGGGCAATATTGAAATGGTTAGACAAACATTTTTTTTATATATGTAACTGGCCAAACCCGATCTTAGGACAAACTAATTTTTCCTTGGCCAAACTAGATCGAACTAGATCCGATACATCCGTCCAACGCGGAATCAAGTTGGACGCAAGAATATTGTGGACTGCGTATCTGGAGTTGGACTGATGAGGGTTATTTTTACGCGATAAGAGTTCTGCTCAAAAATATTGCGGAGCCTAATCTAGGGTTTGGCCGGTAACATATACAAGGATGATTGATGTTTATGGTTGTGTGAAGTAGTCTATTCGTGTCTTCCTTTGAAGTAGCTAGTTCACTGGAAGGCTTAGGTGCTAATGCGCCTCTGTTTTAGGATATAACACCTAAGTGTGTATGTATAGACATGGTTCCATAAAAATTTCGCATACCTCGCAATGTTTTGCTTTTCCTAAAGGGTCATTATCCACATATACAATTACATAGAAAAAGGAGTTTCTCACACCAACAAAAACTAGTGGGTGGCTTGAATAAATCAAAACGTTTTGGTGTTGCAACACTCCACTTGGGGGTGTTTGACGATGGAGGAATAGTTTTGCTGGTAGGTGTCCTGGGCGGATAGTGCCAAATCCGACGAGTAGGTGCCCACACAATTCCACACACACACAGGTATGTTAATGTATTTGTGTACGTTGTGGCATTTACAGCAAATAAGTAAGTGGCAACTGTTGGTATACTGGTATACACACATTAAGGGCGGCTCGGCTCGGCGTGTAGTTTCTGACGTTGCAATACGGGTTGCCCATGTATGTAGGTATGTGGCATATATTTTTGTGTGTGCGTTTACCTATAGTGGGTTGAGTGAATTGCACGCCGCATTACTATGTACTACGTATGTATGTACATTCATGCCAACAATAGTTTCAGCAGCAGGGCAGTAATGCAATTCTTTGTTGGCGCAGGTCATGGAACTTTGGCGGCAGCAAAAA